CACCCCCGCGCATGGCTGCCCTGCCCACCCCAACTCCTGGCACTTTAAAAAAAAACCCATGTGCTATTAGCACATGTGCTATTAGCAAAGAGAAATAAACTCCAGTGCATATTGCATCAGTGTTTATTGCTTCTGGGCACAAGGTCTGAACATGTGCCAGGGATCACAGCACATTGAGCCAGGTTGGAGCAGCCCTGGCTGGCAGGGGATCTGGGGGGGTCAGCCCAGGGCTGCTCCAACCTGGCTCAACATGTTGCAGAGGGTCTGGCTGCGGCACGAGTGTACTCCAGTGCAGGACTAGCCAGGAGGCAGCCCCTGCACTGAAGCACCCTCATGTCCCACCCAGCGTCATCAGTGTCTACAAGTGTGTTCCTGTACACTAAAGATCTCTGCTGCAGGATAATACTTGTATTTACTATGGCAGAGTTTATTAGTTTACTGCAGCCTAACAGGGCTGCATGTGTAAATGCTCAAATGTTTATTGCAGAGCTAATTAGGCAGCTCTGCAGTAAATGGCTCATATAAATGCACCAAGGAGCAGAAAGCAACCTGGTTTTCTCAGCTGTAAATTCCCCTGGCACAGGAAGCATTCTGCTGATGGATGGCTCTTGTACCGTCCTTCAGAGTACTGTGTCTTGGCATATATTTGAGGCAAGGCAGTGGCAGTCAGAGCACATCATGTTTTAGTTGATGCACTGTCCTTAGGGGGACCATTTGGAAGAATTTAAAAGAACCACTAAGGCCATGGACAGACATGGTATTTGAAGCACTCTAAGTGCCTAGGAAGCATTACAGACAGCAAGGGTGTAGACAGTCACACCTGAGGAAGCACTACAAAAATAGCCCATGTGCTTCAGAAGTGACCCTCAAAACAGTGAAATATCTTTGAAGTACTTCTTTTTGAAGTACTTCATGAAACGAGCACATACAGCATGACAGTGGGTTGCTTGATCCTTTGATGTCCCAAAATGCTCCATTCCTCCCCATACCACAAGGAAGTAGGGCAGACAGTAGGCCTGTGCAAAGTGGCAAGTATTCGCTTTGGATTCAGATTCAGCTGATTCAGAGGACAGTGATTCAATCTGGAGATTCGAATCACTGTTCTGATTTGATTAGGTCAAATCAGATCCGAAAGATTTGGCACTGCTTCAGAGATTCAGCCATAAACTAAACAGGCACCTGACACAGCTGCCTCCATCTGGTAAGTCTGCTGGGGTTGGGGAAAGGAAGAGGCATGGAGGAGCAAGGGATTGGGTCTGGGACAAGCTGCCCAGCTGGGGCAGAGGGCATGGAACTCAGAGAGGGGGGCAGACGGGAGCGCGGTATGTGGGCACAGCAGCACTCAGAGGGGGAGCTCTGCCCTGCTGCCACATGCCCAGTCAGGGTGGGATGCAGGCGTGGCTTGCTCTGAGTGGAATGGAGCAAGCGGTAGCAAGGCATAGCCCCCGCTCCCAGTGCTGCTGCACCCGCATCCTGCATCCCACTTCCTCCTGTGCAGTGCTGGGAGCAGGGGTTATGCTTTGCTGCCACTTGCCCCCTTTCACCCAGAGCAAGCGGCCCCCGCATCCCATTCCCCCCTTGCCCCCCCGGTCCTGGCTGAGCAAGCAGCAGCAGGGCAGAGCCCCCACTCTGAGCGCTGCCATGCCTGCATCCCATATCCCCCCACGCCTCTCCCCGAATTCCACGCCCGCCACCCCAGCTGGGCAGCTTGTCTTAGCCCCAGCCCCAACCCCAGCCCCATTCCCTCCCTCCTCCATGCCCCTTCCCTCCCTCCTCCCCCAACCCCAACAGACTTACCACATGGAGTCAGCTGTGTCAGCTGCCTGTTCAGTCTATGGCTGAATCGCCAAATCTTTTCCGAATCTTTTTCCGAATTGATTTGAATACTTCAAATCGATTTGGAACTTTTAACTGGTCTCCCAATTTGATTTGGATTCAGAGATTTGGTCCCCAAATTGAGCCAAATCTCCTTTGAATCAAATCAGCTACTGAAGCTTCACACAGCCCTAGCAGACAGCTAATAAACAGTCTCCTGTATGCTCAGCTATCCTCAAGAATCTCTGGAGACCAGAAGTTGCATGCCTTCAAGATTTCTTGAAACACTCCAGAGGCTTCGGGAGGGAGGGTTACTACATATCTATATAGAGATGAAGCGCTCTGAATTTAAAGAGTTCCCAAGTGCAGTGGGATTTAGAGTGCTTCAAATGACTGTCCATAACATACTCTAAATGCAAACCAAAGCCCAGCGTCTTGTTTTACCCTGACTATCAAGGAGGTATAACTAGTTCCTTGACAGCCTTTTCCTTCTTTCTCAGGGTACTTTTTAACACTGGATAGTATTTGATCAGACTACATAGAACTTTATAAAACTGATATTCTTCATTCATTCTCTTGTCTCTACTTTAGTCTCACTAATATGCAAATGTATTGTATGTAGTAAGCCATATTCACAAGTACACTCCAGTTGCTCTGCAGAGTGGTGTAAAGAAGTCTGAGCATGCCAGTGAA